GTGTCATGCAATATCTCAGTGGCACCTCCACCCATGGCATTCACCTGGCACGCTCCTCCACCGACTCATTGCAGGCTTACTCCGACGCTGACTGGGCCGGTTGCCCAGACACCCGACGTTCCACCTCTGGATACTGTGTTTTTCTCGGGGACAACCTAGTCTCATGGTCCTCGAAGCGTCAGGCCACCACTTCCCGTTCGAGCGCAGAAGCTGAGTACCGCGCTGTAGCCAATGCCGTTGCAGAAACGAGCTGGATCCGGAACCTTCTACTTGAGCTACAGCAACCTCTTCACCGTGCCACCCTTATCTTTTGCGACAACGTCAGTGCCGTGTATCTATCGACAAATCCTGTACAGCACCAGCGCACCAAACATGTGGAAGTTGATATTCACTTTGTCCGTGACAAAGTAGCACTCGGCCATGTCCGTGTTCTCCACGTTCCCTCGTCTTCGCAGTATGCTGACATCTTCACTAAGGGACTGCCATCTTTATTATTTCTGGACTTCAGACAAAGCTTGGGAATCAGACCTCCCCCACATCCGACGTAGCTGGGAGCATGTTAAATATATTGTATATATTTAATATATTGTATTATTCCCTTACCTTATTTGTATAGGTTTCCTTCTTTGTGTCTCTCCTACCATGTTTAGGATTGAGATTCCTCTTATATATATACATGTAACCACATCATATTAAATTAATGAAAATTATTATTCTTCCCATCTCTTTTCTTCTCCATCATATCGTTCTTCTACAGCCGTGAAATCTCAAATTTTGTGTAGATTTGATTACATATGCCCTCCCCAATGGATTTCATCTCTTTCAATTTCAATTTTGTGTAGTTTTTTACTCAATGTGTGAATGGATGGCTGAGCCAGCCTATGGAATTGGTTCAAATTTTCGTATTTGGTTCAGATTTGAGTTATAACATTTTCTTATCCTTATTTTCCAGAATTGAACTAAACAAAAATAGATAATTTCCAGACTTTCAACCAAACATCAGAAATGGAAAATAGCTTCAGGAGAATAACTCATTTTCCAAAAGTCATTTTCCAGATTTCCAAAGAGACCCTTAAGGAGTAAGTACATAGCTAATTATTCAAAGTTTGAATCTCACGTTTTTTAAAAGTTTCAATTAGATTTCATATATTGTTTTTTTCATAATGTAAAACAAATGCTGTTAGAATTGAATAAAGAATAACACTGCGAAACGTTGTTAATGAAGAACTTGATAGAATAACGAATCGCGTACGAAACGCTTTTAGATCAAAGTTATTTCGAGGTATACGGAATACTTCAATCGGATAAGACGTTAATTAAGAACAAGCAATCGAAAATCTGTACCCCAATCCATACCACAAGACTCTAATTTATAGAGTCAAAAATTTCCATGATCGGACATGAACCTTCACGTTAACATACGCGTACGTTCGCATGGAGAAGAAGGCGCGAGTTTGAACGAGGAGTCTCCTGCGGTTTTGGGGTGCATTTCAACGTTTATCCAATAGTTCGAATCCTTTACTGTTTTGGACTCCGATCACAAAAATCTTAAGGTTTCCATAAAGAAACAACGTTCGAAATAAAAAATTTCCAAGCTTTCCCGGCAGCTCGACCCCGGTGAGGGGCTCTGCCCCTTGGACCCTGCTACCCAGGGGCTGCCGCCCCCGGACCCTCGCTGTGAAATTAAAATATCGTTGAACGAGCGCGCACTCTGCGCCTCCTAACTCGTTTGACAACGTCTATTTAAATTTTTGTCTGGTCGAAGTAAATCCAATTACACAAAATAAACTGATGACACTAAAATGACCAACAAATGCAATATTTAGCAAATTCTGGGATACAATAGGTAAAATCTTACATAATCAGCATTTTAGAAGCTAAGGCAACTGACTTCTAAATAGTCTATCATGGTCCACTAATCGTAAGTTGAATCTGGGCTAGGAGCAAAATGGATGAAATTACATGAAGTCTTGAAAAATACAAAAAGAAAGGATAGCATAAGACAAAATTGACAAGGTAGACATAACATTTGAACCAAATTGATCACCTTAAGTCCCAACCCACCCCCCACCCCCCAGAATACTGTGAAATCACTCTATATTGAGAAATAAATGGAGAAATTTGGAAGTCAATCACTTCCATGCAACTGGGCATCACTAACTGGTCTGAATGTCTACTTATCAAACCCTAAACTTTGAATCTGCATAACTGAAAAGGGAAACATAAAAAAGCTTGCCTAGCGGGGCAGTACCTCTACTAGACGTTCCTCTGCGTCAGCAGGGATTTCCCTTCCTGGGACCCGCACCTTTATAAGTGTAGAATGCCTGCAATTCAAAGAAATGGTGTCATATATTCTTTCTTCTTTGTACAGAGAATCCTATCTTTTGAAGCATTGCAAATTTGTGATTATCAGTATTAACCATAAACACTCACTCTGCACTCATAAATAGGTGCCCGTGCTCACTAACAAACACAAGCAGGGCCTGGAAGGGAAAAAGTATACACCATAAATTGTTTAGGAAAACTTTACCTGTCGTTAGGCTGTTGCAGCTATAAAGAAACGATTTACTAAATTGGCAAGAATTATTACAGACTATTTTTTACTTGCCTCGAATGGCATGTTTAGGAGATCATAATATGTACGGACACGATCTAAACTGAGCTTCACAGCTTCACTGTCAATCGAGGGAATGGCGGTAAGAGCCTACAAACATGGCATAATAAAAAAGAGACCTTTTAGCCAAGAATGAAGCTGAATCAATCATGCCTAGAAACTTAAAAGGTTGGGGACATGAGGGAAGGGGATTGAGTGCGTGTAAATAGAAAGGCAAAACAGACAATGAGAACCTGCTCTAGTGCAATCGAGTTGCAACATATCTGTTGAACCCCAAATAGGTTGATAGATTTTATATCCGTCAAAGCCTAAAATCTACAGTTGAAAAGAAGTAACAACAATGAATAGATGAAAGGGGAAAGCAGATCTTGATGAAGGCATTTGCAGCAACACCACATATGGAACCAAAAATATAGTTCCGCTTTGCTCCAGCAATGAAAGGTTGCATTTCTTCATCCCGCCGTGCTATCTGTCACCCCACCAATGTTAGACATTTAAACATGACTGCCCCCTTATTATAAATCGTATATTTTTTCAAAATGTTCCCTATTTTCCCTTATTTTATTTCCCTAGCATTTCCTGAGTTACAATGGGCCCCTAAGGTTTAAGAATGCCTTAAGCTGTATATCTATCATAATCCATTTGTGGTATTATCTTGAAGGGTAGATTTTGGAAGGAAAAGTTTATATGTTTATAAGTAGAAGATTTCTACAAACGGATAAGCAAATGATTGAAATGTTGAACGACTACATATTATATTAACCTTTCATTTTTATAAACCTAAAATTTATATGAAGAACTCAAGAAAATGTGATAAAACTTCTAAGAGCAAACCATAACATCTAAAATAGAGCGACATATTTCTTTGATGCAACAAATATAGGAAAAACAAACATGACTCTCAGGTGAGTCATAGCATCAAGAGCAGTAATCGATTTGTGAAAAAGAGAAGAAGTATTTCATTGATATAAGTAGTACAATACAAACAGTCAATCTTAATAAGACGGGACTTAAAGAAAACTAACAGTCAATCTCAATAAGACGGGACTTAAGAAAACTGAACTTCGGTGCTCCATCTGCAGTTGAAAAGGTAACATGATTTAGTCCTTTTTCATTCGTAAACTTGGGCCCCATATGTGAAAGAAATGGAGGATGTTAAGGGAAAAATATCACCAAACTTAAAAATAATAATTGTGACCACAATAATATATACTCCATATCTGGGAAAAAGTAGATGAATATGTCACATTGCAGTACACCATGCATATGTGAAATCCGTAGCTACTATCAAGGGTCTCTCAGTGTTCAATGTGGCATTTTTGCTAGCTCCTTCAATGAGTTCACATTCTCAAAAATTCCATACTTGGGCCCCATATCTGCAGATACGCACATGTATTCCCAGTCGCACGTCATTATTATTGGAAGAATACTAATGGTGATAGGAATGCACCTAACATGACACAATTTGAATGTTTTGCTATAAAGAGCTCATTGTTACTCACTGTTTGAGATAATCGAAAATTTCCGTATTCTTGAGGATCATAAACTATAATGAGATCTTCATTCCCCTTCCAAGAAGATGTCAAACAGTCTGCAAAAATCATAACGGTTCTACTAAATAACAGAGCATGAAGTCGAATTGACTCAAAAAGAAATCATAAACATCAGTTTGCTGTTGTACTCCATTCACCTGGACAAATACAAAAGATAGGCAGATAAATTAGTGACTACACTAAGCAAAGAAATCTACAAGTGTGTGATTCTGCAGACAGAACGGGTGAGATAAAAATCACAAATTATAAATCGGACAATACAGCAGGCTACCAAAGAACTATCATTTCCCAAATATTAATTTTCTTGATCCCAATCCAGCATGAAACTACACTTATTTAGGGAAAAGATAACTCATGTCATTATCGACAAGAGTTCTAACCTGGACCAAAGAATTGCAATAAGCAAACCTTTTAACAAGAAAACTCTTCCATTATAGTGGCTATCTAGGAACAAGTGTCTTTAGCAGTCTTTTGCTGCACTTTGACTTTGCTCTTCAATGCTGCAGTTTTGTGACTTTTGTCTTTGTTTATAGCATCCTTTGTTTTTAATTTATGCACACAACAATATCTTGTGCTGCACTTTGACTCTGCACTTCAAAACTTTCATCTCCTACCCACCCTCCTACCCACCCTACAGTCAATATCTACATGTGTGTTGTACATTCTTACAATTTATATGCCCCTTCAATGTCATCTAGATCTTAATCTTATCTACAATGTGTTCATGAATCAACTATGGAAAAGACTGGCCAAATGTATTTGATTTTGAATTGTAAAATCTTGATGTCTAGGTTTTGAGAATTTTCAGTTCGCAAAGTACAACCATGAAAGTTAGATCCTAGTAAACCACAATAACTCAAAAGAATATGTAAATTTAAGCAAATACACAAATAGAGATTAAAAACAAGCATAACACGCACCTCAAAGTACGATCCAAACGGGATGCCAAGGTTCTGGTGTACATCTTCGAACATCTGGAATAGGGAAATACTGAAATAAGTGAAAAACAAAATAAGTGTAGAATTGTATTATCGGAAACACACAACATTATTGAGTGTTCATGAAAAGATTATGATAAGAGAAACTACCAGGGTTTTTAATGTCATGAGAGAACATGTTAAGTGACTGTTGAAATACCTGTTCATAACCTTCATATTCAGAATTCAGTTTGACTTTTTTTATTCAAATTGAAAAGGAAAAATGGGGATCAGAGGATTTCCTCATAAGGGTAGGCTACGCCCAAACCCATGGTTACATTTGGATCCCTCTCGCTCTGTAATATATACCTCGTACGTCAGGTACGTGCGCGCAGTGTATATACATAAGTAAAGCAAAACCTAGTTCATCACTCGAACTATGGCCGTAATAATGTTTGGACAAATTAAATCAAAACAATGCTAACACTTAACTCTAAAATAACTATTGATATTCTTAAAGAGGTTCTTGTTTTTGTTGTTGTTATTATTATTATTTTTATTTATTATCAAATATTATTTACATCTTAGCTTTCTTCTAGCACATATTATGTTTAGACCGACCATGGTGTCCATAACCATTTAAAGCCTCATGTGATCATACTCCTTTCTCTTTAAGCATCAAACTTTTCATCATAGAGAATTCTCACTTCTTCTCACCACGTGGTACACAAACTTTTTTATTACAATAGTCATAGCCAATGTAGGAATTTGGTTCATCATCGAGAACTCTAATATCTACTGTAACCCAAACTCCTTTGCCCTAAATTTGGAGTGTGAAATTTAAAACTTAATCCACACGAGAAAATAAAATACATATCTAATTTCAGTCATTCGATGCTCAACCATGGTGCATACCTGGGTATTCACTTGGCAAACCTCAGAAAGTTTTAACTTTGGGCAGTGCATTTAGAGCATCTTTATATGCCTTCAGGCCAATGAACCTCTTGAAAAGGTCTATGCTGTCATCTCACCTATTAAAGTGTTATTATAAGTATTACATTCAAATGGATGTGATTTCTACTATTTATTCTTAACATAAGAGTATGTTCATACCATTTCTTAAGGGATTCAAATGTTGTATGAGCAGGGTTCACTTCAAACATTGCATCAAATCAAGAAGACAGAGAAACACCTGTTAGAAATCCACATCAACTTATTGTCGGTTAATTCAATAATTCTTTTTCTATGTATATAAACTTTGCTAAATAATACTCCCTCCGTCCCTTTGAGTCTTACCCATTTTGACTTTTTAGCAAAATAAGGGGACAAATTTTTTGCTTTGACTTCCCCAATTTACCCCCCAACCCTAATCAAAAAGCAAAATTGCAATCAACTCATGAATAGTGTAAAGCAAAATTTTATAGCAAGTGGCGTACTCATCACATTAACTATGGCAGGGCAATCATACCCCAAAAAACCATTCCGTACTACCCATGTCTCAAACTACATGAATTACATTCACCATCACCATACATTACATTCATTAAATTTGTTTAGATGGTGAATGTTTTTGGGAAAATTTGATATTCCCTCCAAAACACCCCTCCAAAACCAAAACAAAAAATTACAAATTCATACAGGCACTGCATATTTAAATGAATGCATTGAATGCATTCATTTCACTTATCTTCTTCACTTCATTACCTTCATCTTCTTACTGGCCCGGTTGCCTTCAATGCCCCCTCCCGAGCAGCCTTCTTCACCTTCGTCTTTATCAACACATGACTCCTCGTCCTTGCACCATCTACCCGATGTTATAGAAGTCCCCTTCGACAACCTTTTCACCCCTGAAACGGAAATAGAAACAGAAATAGAAGCACAGAGTAAAGGAGCTCAACTTAATCAAAAAAGAAAAAGAGTTGCTGATGTTTTACTAGAAAAGTCTAAGGATGGCAAACTTCAGCACGGTTTAATCAGCAAAGTTGCTGAGGAATTCAGCTTTACAAGGAAAAATGTGAGCAACATTTGGCAAATTCCTAAAGCACAATTGGAGTCCGGCCTACCTATTGATGTTCAATGCCATTGGAAAGGAAGTTGTGGCAGAAAAAGGGTGCCTGTAGACATGGAAAAACTGGCAGCTATCCCGCTGTCTAGACGCAAGAACATGCGTGCACTTAGCTTTGCCATGGAGGTTTCAAAATCCACAGTCCACCGATGGCTAAAGCGCAAAGATATAAGGAGACATTCAAGTGCTATAAAGCCATACTTATGTGAGTCAGGTAAGCAAAAAAGACTGAAATTCTGTCTTGACCATATATGTCCTCAATCACTCCCCATAAGCCCAACTTTTCATGATTTTTATGATCACATTCACATTGATGAAAAATGGTTTGAAATCACCAAAAAAAACACAACATTCTACGCTCTGCCAGAGGAATCTGACCCCTACAGAACCACTCAAAGCAAAAGCTTCATACCAAAGATCATGTTCCTGGCTGCAGTAGGCAGGCCAAGGTATGGGGAGGGTGGAGATGTGTTATGGGATGGGAAAATTGGCATTTTCCCATTCACTTTTGAACAGGCAGCGCAAAGGTCTAGTAAAAACAGGCCTGCAGGGACATTGGAAACAAAGGCTGAACAAACTGTGAATAGAGATGTTATGAAGAGAATGTTACTGACTAATTTGATACCTGCAATTAAGCAGAAATGGCCTGGGTCATCAAGGGATATTATTATCCAACAAGATAATGCTAAGCCTCATGTGGATGGCAATGACCCTAAAATTGTTGCTGCTGCTCAAGAAGGGGACTGGAACATTCAACTGAAATTCCAGCCCCCCAACAGCCCTGATTTAAATGTACTTGATCTAGGATTTTTTTAGATCCATTGACACAGTACAAGACCAAACAGCTCCTAGGTCATTGACAGACTTGGTTAAGTCTGTTACAACAGCCTTTGAAGAACTATCACATGACAAACTAAACAATGTCTTCTTAACTCTACAAGGGGTGATGGGTGAGATACTCCGTCACAATGGAGGAAACCATTTCAAAATTCCTCGGGGAAAAAGTAAGTTGGCCACACAAGGAATACTACCACAGAATTTGGGAGTAAGCACAGAAGTGTATGAGAATGCACAAAAGTTCTTAGAGGAACATATGTAAGTACTTAATGATTAAGTACTTTTTTGTTGTGTGTGCAAAGATGGCCAAGGAAAGGTACTATACCTATATGTACTTCCAAGTGAACCTTTTGCACATTCTTTTTGCTTTTTGTTGGCCTAGAATGCCATTCTTTGCTTTTTGTAAAAGTATATCATATTCTGATCAAGTGTAGCATATAATAGGGACTGCACATTTTTTGCTTTTTGTAAAAGTATATCATATTCTGATCAAGTGTAGCATACAATATGGACTGCACATTTTTTGCTTTTTGTAAAAGTATATCATGAAGTGTATCAAGTGCAGCAAAGTTTTATTGGAATGAAGTGTATCAAGTGCAGCATTGTTCTTTAGAAAATATTTTAGGAATCAAGTGTAGTAAATGAACCAGAGAAATAGATAGAGGCAATAGAATCAAGTGTAGGACCTGCCCTAATCAAGTGTTGTAAATGAACCAGAGAATTAGAAAGAGGCAACCCATGTTGTAATCAAGTGTAGGACCTGCCCTAAGTCCATGTTTAGTGTAAAGCAAAATATTATAGCAAGTGGAGTACTCAACTGCCCATATGTTTCAAACAGGGATTACATTCACCCAATTCACCATCAAACCCCAAATTTTCACCACCAAGCCCCTCTCACAGAACAAACAATATGGTAGACCAAACCAATACAGTGTTGTAAGTCTCCAACCCATAGGGGGTGACATTACAATATAGCTAAACCCAAAAAAAACTCACAGACTTCAAACCATTCACACAAAGTTTGTTTGCATCATAAGTTTGCCAATAAACATTATACGGAGTATATAATGGGACATGCAAGTACTAATCGTATGTGAATCTAAAGAGGAAGAACATAATACTCTGTCTGAAACGCAGTGCTTTAGCATCATCTCCATAGGGCTCAGCAAAAATTATTTCTGTATCAGACATCTCCAAGATTTGGGCTGAAGTTACTGATTCCTCATCTTCCCCATCAGATTCGACACTGCCTCCTTCATCCTCAGACGGAAAAAAGTCACCCCCCAAATATTTTTTCCGATACCACCACATCGGATCTGTATCATCCGTGCCAGATGCGCTATCACCAGAGTCGTATGGAGGTATCAGAGATTTTTTAGATTTAGGAGGTGGCTTGGGAGATGCCCTTTCATCTTCGCTATCGCTTAAAAGCTTGAAGGAGGGCATTGTAGGATCGCGACCCACCATTTTTGGTGAATTCTTATGGGAAGGAGGTATGGAAGATATAGATGATTGAGGGTGCCCAGCGACGATGGGAAAGAGGAACAACAGCCACAGAGAGAGGGATAGAGGAGAGAAGATGAATGGATGAGGGGATGCGTAGGAGAGAGGATGAATGGATGGTGGGTGGGGTAAGAGGGTGGGGGGTAGAAATTAGGTTTAAGGGTAGGAATGTCATTTTTAGGCAAATGTGTAAATGTTTGTGGGACAAAAACTTTATGAAAGGAGTAAATCTTTATGGGACGGAGGGAGTATATTACCATTAAAGGCAGTAAAATCAACCCTTTTTACAATAATTATTTGGAAATGCCTAGTTTCTAAGAGGGACGTGATTTCCTTCCCTTGGTTCGTTGCAAACTCTTCCCACAGTGTAAGCAGCATAAGCTTCATTCTATTTAAGCAATCATTCAAAATGTTATTTTTGTGTATCGTTAAATATTTTTTCATTCGGATTACTTACTCATAAAAAATGGTGAAATCATGTGCTATTTTTTCTTGTGAATCCAACTGAGATGTACTCTCTCGGTATTTTTCTATGACAACGGCCATGAAATTTGTATACAAAAGTACAGATCTGATGCAAAGTGGTAGTAAACAACTGTATATCTATATAAGAAAAGAGAAATTAAATGACTTACTTATGGGGGTTTTACTTGCACTAATGCCGTAAAACTCATTAAATGGTGTCAGCATCTCTTTTACCTCATCTGGTATTTTAATCTGTTCAAAATCTGGAACTGGGTCAATATATGCCTGTCTACTAATCATCCAGATGTATTTATAGTGGGGAATGGTGATGGGACATTGCATTTAGTCGGCATCATAGCAGCATTTGTTATTTTATATATTTTATGGATATCCAATACTCGATTAACTTGTTCAATGTCTCCACTATTCACCATAGTGAGAACCTTCGTGCCCTATTATTTTAAAATAAATACATCAAATTAACATAATCAAAAGCCTGGTTTTGTAATATTCTATGTTTAGTTCATTTATGATATAAAAACACTTACTTCATGATCATGCAATACATAAGTTCAATACTTATTTGGACTGGACCTCGAGTCTCTAATGTTCTGCTTCTCAACAACTCCATTCACCTTTGTTATCTTTAATATGGCAAATCATTTGCACTGTTGTCATCCATGTAATTTTATTTTAAAATAAACGGTATTTTAACACAAGAAGACATTGTTTGATAAAATTCATTTATTCAAATTCAGTAAAACAAATCCCTCCTTTGTAGTCAACACCACATGGGACCGAACTGCTTTGGATTGGAACCATATTATTTTAAAAATGTGTATTAAACACCTCATTTTTAGTAAAAAACACTCTTGGTCAAGTCAGACCGTGATGAGAGTCATGCTTTGTTCACTAAAAAAACTGAGTGCGAAGTCCGATCCCGCTCACTTAACTTTGTATTTGAATTTTAATTAATATAATTTTAATGAATAAACATTTATAAATTTGTCTGATCCCTACAAGATATCTTTCTACTTACTTTTCATAATGAGGGTGATGAAAACCCTCACAAATAGAACAAAACAACTTTTCAAAGAAAAAAATACTTAGAACTTGATCAGGTCTATGCCAAAAGCATGTAAAATAGAAGTTCAAGGTATTGTATGCTCTATATCTTCACACCTAAAAAATGAGTTCCACAATTGCCTATGGTAATTGTTATCTGAGACTCTAGGAATATACATAAACAGTTCTATAATATGCAGTTTGCTACTCTAATTCACTCTGACAAAATTTGATCGCCCTATTCTTGTGGATTTCATACATATGGATAATTATTGGAACTATAAATTCATATCATTTTAAAAATTATACTAATATTGACTTCCATGACATAATAAAATACTTTTAAACACAATCAATTTTTTAAAAAATTAATTTAAAGAAAAGTGGCCTACTAAAGAACATGATTGTTAAGCCCTAATGGCATGATAAAGCTTATTTAAATTCAGGAAGAACAAAAAAATGGTATTCAAACATTTCACATACCACGAATGAGATGTGCTAAGTTAGTGCATCAACCCAATGTGTATGAAAGTTATTTGCTTCCCTTATGAAAGCCATAATCAAAAGCACATTTGAAAAATAAAAGATGAATAAAACCTATGCACAATAGTCAATACTTCCTCGTATGACACTACATTTGTTAACCTTTCATGGAATGAGTTATATGGGTATCTCACCGCTGTGGTCCAGGGATTCAGTTTTATTAATCTGTCTAAAAACTATTTTAAACTGCCTCTAAAATGTGAAAAATCAAAGGGGTAGGAGTGAATGTGGTTCGTTTTACAAGGCGAGGGGGCTGGTGTTTGATTCTAGGCAGCCAAATGCCACCCAACCTCCTCCTCCTCTTCTTCCAAGACACAATAAGAGCCACAGAAAAACAAAGTTGAGATTAAGGTGGTGATGGAAATATTAAATCACACTCTCTAACCCCCTACCTTGGTTGGTTCCCTTGACATTGGGAATCAATGTCATGGGATGACCCGAATGTGTTCGGGTTCCCCGCTCATAAAATTGATGGTTCCGACCCGAACACACACACCCCACCCCCTTCAATTGCACCCCCAAGTTAATTTTTACTTTGAAGGGATGGGGGGGGGGGTTACCAGGGGGTAGGTAGCGTCAATTTTATGAACGGGACACTGGAGCACCTCTGGGTCATCCCATGACATTGATTCCCAATGTCCTGGGAACCGGCCCCTTATATGTAATCTAATAACTTAGGTGATTGAGATTGGGCCTAGAGCTCCTAAGCCAGCCACAGAAATACTCCTATAGATATAAAATGCTGGGTTATTTTCCCTCCAGTCTTTTTAAACCATAAATAAATACTTTTCATTAAATGATAAGAAAATAGGTTATGGTGCTGACCACATGAAGCTTGGTAAAATTTTTTATTCAATAAATATGTTATTACTTCAAAGTTGGGAGCTTAAAATTTTGAGAAATGGTTGAATAATCCAAGTATAAATTCCTCTAATTTTTAAACTTATACTCATACTTCAGAATAAAATAATTTTTCACACAATATCTTAAAAATCAATTTAAAGGAAAAATGACTACTGAAGAACACAGCAGCATGATTGCTAAACCCTAATAATATGTGAGTATGCTGGATTTACAGCATGGAAAAGCTTAATGAAATTCAGGAAAATGCCAGAAAAATGATCTTCAAACATTTCACAAACACCTGCAAACAGATGTGCTAAATTAGTGCACCAACCCACAGTAGATTACTCCTTTTCCATGTGTGAAATTTTAGAAATTTCCTAAAATGACAAATAATTTGGGACAACAAGGATTAAAAGGGTGGAATCTTTGCCAAATTATAAAATGAGTGCATGTGTGTGGCTTTATATCTTTTACAAGAATATAATGATATATGGTATATGAATCTCACCTCCCGCAGCTGCTGCACAGACTCATAAATGCCTTCTTCGGTACACATATGACTATTGCATAGTAATCTGCAGTTACTTGGCCATTTTGTTTGCAAAATACTGGACTTACTGCGGGCCCCTACATTGATTTATATGAACACGGCATGCCTAAGTTAGTCAGGAATTGAGTAGCGAATAGTTTATGGAGTGTGATTACTATCCCTCAGTCAAAGGGTAGTAAGATAATTTTCTGCTCTATTAAACTCTTCAGTAAAACTCTTAGTCTGTACCTGCAACCCTGATAAGGAATTTCGGCTCAATGCGTGCCTAGCTACTTCCTCTGCAGAGTTTCCCCTCATGTTGGCAGTTACCTGCCATGAAATTTATCACGAACCAATTGTTTTTTAAACAAGTGAAATGTTGGGAGGAGATTTTACACACTGTGAATTGACCCAAAGCACACAAATGAGCCTCTAGCCTTTCAAGCATTTCATGTGTTATATCTAGCACATCCTTACGTGTCAATGATTTCCTGCTAGCACTAAGGACCGCCTGTGCAAAAGCATTAATCATAATATTTTATGTCCATCAGGTGTTGTACTAATATGTCATAATGAGGGTATGTGACTATGCAAACTTTGGAACTCTACATCCCTTGAAAATGTGCCTGCCTGTCAATATGAGCCGAAAACATGTTTTAAAATGATACTATAAATATTTTATAACATAATACAGTGCAATGTCCCTTTGACTGCATTCTTTCCTCAAACAAAATGACACTTAATATTTTATAACGATTGTTCTAGTGTTTTAAAATGGGAGCAATAATCTTTGGAAAGTAATGAGGTCAAAGGGCCTTTGCACTATATAATGTATTATGTATACTTGAAGGGTTTTGCAAATGATAGTCAGGAACATTTGTTACCCAAACGTGATGGCCTATGAATATCTATTTCTGACATTCACACACATGAAATATTATCAATAGTGTATGCATATTTTTTAAAACCTTTTCTCTTCCCCAGTAAATTTAGTCTCAATCAATAACTTTTTGTGTAATAAACACTCCACATTGACAATAGCAGAACTGCAGAACGCGAAAACCCATTAGCATTAGATGCTGAAAAATTACCTGACTTTGCGAGATGACTCCACCCGCAATCTCTTTTAGATTGTTCTCTCTCGAAGATGTTCCACTGCCCACAAGGTCTACAATTGCATCGGCTATCCCCATCTATATTTGGAAGAAGTGAGGAAATGATAACAGCAACAACAACCTACCCAGTGTTGTCCCATACATAAGGAATGAAGATATGAGAGGTAAAGTTGGAGTGACACCCATTGTAGAAAAGATTAAGGAAACTCGTCTTAAGTGGTTTGGACATGTGGAGAAAAGACCAATAGAACATCCGATGTGAAGGGTTTGACCAAATGGTGAATAGACATGTCGCAAAGGAAAAGATACACTTAAGAAGACTTGGCAAGAAGTGGTCAAGGGGGACCTTCGCGTGAATGATCTCACGTCGGTATATATGATGCATGATAGGGAGCAATAGCATTTGATCCATGTAACCGACCCCACCTAGTCGAATAATGCTTTGTTGCTGTTGTATATCGAAATGATGCGCTTACAAAGTCGTTAACCGTTGATGAAATTTCTAATTTTATAGTACACCCAATCCACAGAAACCATGTGAAAATATGAACAGAGCGAGCAGCATAACATGTGTGGACAATGAGGTGGGGGCCGGAGGGTGAGTGGATGAGTGAGTGTCTCAACATCATTTCATTCACTTTCCTTCTAAAGTTCTCTCATAACACCATTTAGAGTAAAATGCAATGACATAAACTGTTTTACCAACTCAAGTTTTAGAAAGTGTGCCATGGAGGCTAATAAGTAATACTCCCTCCGTCCATAATTAAAGTTTCCACTTTCCTTATTTGGATGTCCACAATTAAAGTTCCCATTTCTATTTTTGGCAACTTCTTTTATTAAAAAGACTCAATTACCCTTTTCTTTTACTTTTCTACTCCTTTCCTCCTCTCCCTTTTTTCTTTCTTTTTTTCCTTTTCCCGTTTACACTTCCGATTCTTTCCTTCTCACTCTCTCTCTCTTTTCTTCCCTTTCTGACTTTTCCTTCATCATCTTCATCTCCTACGGATTCTCCTTCTTCTTCTTCTTCCCCCCTTTCGATCTAGATCTGACCAGATCTGACCACAATTAAACTACAAAAGATTGCATTTAAATCTGACCAATTGCATCTCCTACCGATTGCATTTAAATTGGAAGTGTAAACGGTAGGTCGCCGCCGCCGTTGCATCTCCTACCGATTGCATTTAAATCTGACCAATTGCATCTCCTACCGTTGCATCTGACCCAAATTAAAATGGAATCTTTTCGACAGCGAAGGGGCAGCGGCGGCGGCGAGCTTTCGACGGCGAGGGGGTTGCGGCAGGGACTTTCGACAGAGAAGGGGCAGCGGCGGGGACTTTTGAAGGCGAGGGGGCAGCGGCGGCAGGTGCTTTCGACGGCGAGGGGCAGCGGCAATGGTGAGCTTTCGACGGCGAGGGGCGGCGGCAGCGGTGGGGTGTAGTTGTCAGTGGGGGGGGGGAGAGGGCTAAAAGCTTGACAGGTATAATAGTAAAGTCAAACCAATTTTCATTCCACATAAACTTGCGTGCCAAGTCAAACTGGGAACATTAATTTTGGACGGAGGGAGTAATAACTTACCCTTCTACAAAGTCTGCAACAAATCCAATGAATCGCTCAAGGATGCCAAAAGAACAAGTTTGCTATCATCGCGAATCAGGTTCTCCTGAAAATAAGGAAATGACAGGATCACAAATGACAACAACATTAACTGGAGGATTCAAAATACAACCATAGCACCAATCCCATATCCCTCGTCCCCTTGAATAAATCCCCCCAGATATATAGTTGTGGATTGTGGATTGTGGACAAAACTACAAAGACCATAATAGATTTTTGAGTCCTAAGCCTACACTAATTTTCATGAAATGACCCTCAGAGGATACATACCTTCTTGATAGGCCTCAGATTCAGTACTAGATTGCTTATTCTCTTTTCAACCTCTTTAGCATCAGAAGCATTATTTTCTGAGTTCGGATAATGAACTGAAGTTGGTAAGTATGTACTAGCTGGATCAAGTCGCATCAGATTTTTGATGTCATATCTTCCAATAAGCATATAACTTTGCTTTTCAAGAACTGCCTAAAATTCAGCCCGGTAAAAAAAGAGTCATCAAACTGGAGTAGGAAGACTAAGAACAATATATTTTAATTTGATAACAATCATAAAAATAGAGGGAGAGAGTGTGCTTATATGTGCATAATATCTAGCTAC